AAAGAAATCAACCTACTCACAGAGTTCAGACATTTAGTCTGCACATTAAGAAATAAACAAAGATACAAGTACAAGTCAATTTAGCGTTTAGCATTAAACTCAAGAGTCTATATAAATCTACAGTGATTGCAATATTGATGAGACAGGATGGAGTGTTGCTAAGCAACATATAAATACACTCACAAGATTCAACCATTATGCATACAGTTTCGGGTACTCTGGCAAAGAAGAATATCAGGTGGTTTGATTGTTTGTGTGTTCTTTTCTCACATTATTGCATGCTGATGAAAGTAAATTGACATAAATCTCTCTCAAAAGAAAGATTATTGGAAACTATGAGAGAAAAATGTTTTCTTTTTCTTTCACAAACTATTTTCTCCCCTTTCTTTATCAAATGTGTCATTTTATATTTATAGTATGGTTAATTTGAATCTAGTCCTCTAGAATGTGTGCTAAATGTGTGTGTAAACTCTAACCCTGAAAATGTGTCACAATGCTGGTTTACAGACAAAACTCTCAATCTATGCGTTTCTTTAGCGTAATTTTCAGTGTAGGATTAAATAATCTGTGTTGATTTTCTTCTCAACCTTAGCTGAGTGTCACAGTTTCAGTCATAAAAAATATTAGCTGCGAAAATGGCTTAAAGTGCATATTTTTGTATGTTTCATTGTACATGTAGCTTGTTTATTGCGTTCAATTTTATCTTTCAAGGCCATTCATAAAAACATTTTGTCTCTGTGTTACGACACTTTGAGCACTAAAAATGAAATTTTAGTTCTAGAAAATTTTGATTAGCAATTTCTACAAAATTGTGTTACTCATGACATAAAAGAATCTTACGGTAATTAGTACACTACATTGACCTCCAAGATAGAGGGGTGTGGTTGCAAACAACTCACTTCACCTCAAAATAACATTTTTTCAGACCCAAGTAGCTTATAATCCAACACTCTTCTGTGTTTTATTACCAATTTGAATTTAATGAAGGTCATTTCAATTAATTGTACAATTTTATTGACAAAGACAATAGATACTTACACAAAAATTTGGTTATAAATCCAACTAAAACACAATGTAGTATTAGGTCAGAACATGTATTTTGATTATATTGGCCATAAAAGGTTGATGAACTTTTAAGTTTACATATTTGAATTACTTTATTTTAGCTGGAAATATATACAGAATACAATTCCACTTTACTTGTCAGGAATGTAAATAAATAAATTATTATAATAAGTATTTTCACTTGAATTCATTTAATTCTTTTAGTCTTTTGGAGAAAATAATTGTCCATGAAAATAAAGAATTCTAAAGTAGTGGGCAGCGGTATTCCAATATCAGAAATTTAAAGTTGGCAATTTTATGTTAAACTGTCATAATCTAGTCCAGTTATTAAAATGAGTTTTATTCTCAAGCTAGATTCATATTAAATACCCATAAACATGCAATTTGAAATAATTTG